CTAAAAAAACTGCGCTGCAACTTCTCCACGCGACAAAATTTCTTCTCGCTTCGAATCACCGACATGTGGAACAGCCTCCCCAATGACATCGTTGTCGCTCCAAGTATGAACGCGTTTAAGAACAGACTAGATAAAGCTATGGAAAAATATATGTTCAGATTTGAAATGCCTAGCACCATACCGAACCCGGTGGAACTCTAGTAGCTACTTGAAACTATCGTCAGTCATGAAAATATCCGGTCAAATGAAACGATATTAGATCTTCTGTGAACAAGGCACGAAAAGGAAAAGAATCGACGACAGGCCACATCAGGCCTACACTTCAGCGCCGAGATCAATATGTTATGAGACGACCACAAATGCAGAGAGAGTCAAGAAACTTATGAAGATCTGTCATGAAGAAGTTTAAGGAGAAGATCACCGATGAAATGTGAGTAGAGTAGTTTGTCAATAGCTCCATTAAAGTATTAGGAGACTGTTTTATATCCTATGAAGAGAGAATGGAGCCTAGCATATCAATGATATGCTTCATGTATTAAAGAGAATATCGTCCGAGAACAGCGTTTCCATTTCGAGGACTATCTTGAAGCATAACAGTTATGGTAAAATTATTGTCCGTGTGAAGAACTTTCGTAATTTATCCAGAAGCGATCATCTGTTACAGTCATATGCACATATCTTCACATATTTAGAAGATCATTTGTTGCAGTGACGTGTACACCAAGAACTAACTTTGCGAGTTGAAGAGAAGTTCATCCGCTGCAGAGACGTGCATAACAAACACTATCTCGACGTATTTAGGAGAGCATTTGTTGAAGAGACGTGTATGTATGTCAAAAACCATATTTACGTGTTCAGAAGATCAGCAGCCGCAGAGACGTTTATTTCAAGAACTATATTTACGAATGTTGTATAAAATCACCTTATGTAGAGACGTGTATGCCAAGACTATATATACGTATTTACTAGAAGATCATCCGTTGTAGACTCATGCATACGTCAAGAAGATCAGCCGATGAAGCTTGTCTAGCCGGCAGGATTTAGCGTGGCAATATGAAGCGTCTCCAGTTGTAATGGGCGAAGGTTTTGGCGTACATGGCGTTTGGACGATTAATATGGCGTAATGGGCGGCTATGGAGGATATGCGGTACAATTTATGGCGCAATCATGCGCTCGTAGGCTGAGCCCTGTCACCAACCGGCAAATTGCTAAGTGATGTCAACAGAAACGCTATGCCCCAGAATTCGAGCGCTACGCTCGTATCCAGCGCTGCAGAGCCGCCTGAGATACACGATATAATTTTGCGTCCTAACGCTGACTTAACATTCTCGAACTTAACTCGTTAAAAGCTGGAATCATTCAATCATTAATTAGTTTAGTGAATACAGGGGACTCACATGCTCTTTCGTGTTATTTGCTGGAGAAACTTTGCTATATTAATATATTGTAACATTATTGATGTTTTGGTATGCATAGAACTTTCGCGCGCGCATATAGATCGCATATATTTAAGCGGTTACACGTTCAAGCCTGACATGTCTTAAGGATTTTCATTCTCACAGAACCTCGTTTTTGCATGAATTCCTGAAGAAAGTTATAACGTCAAAGATTGTTTTGCTTAAAAAATAAGTAGTTGGCTTATTATTACTTACTCTTTTAAACTCAGTAGCCATGAATCGCACCTGGAGCTTTCAATCAATCTTTTCTAATGTGACTCATGAGTTTCATGTTAGAAATAGATAAAAATTATGTTGTCGCAACGTGTTCGTTCAACTAAACTGTTTCAAATTTTTGTTTCATGTTAAGGTTACTTTTATTTCATGCGGCAAATTTTAGGTTCAAATTCCAATATTCATCATTTCAATACGTTCTTGGCTTCTTGTTTCAGTTAAAGAGCATTCGTACAATAATACGAGTGTTTTATTGATTCGTAAAGATTTCGTAATTCGCAAAAACTCGCAAGCCGTCGGTAAAAATACTGGATTCAAATTGCAGTCTAGTTTCCGCGCTTTACTTGATATATTTAGCCGACATTATATATACGCCCGTCGCTTGTTGTCGTTCTCAAGAATCTTTTAGCTTTCTTATTAATAAAGTCTTCCAATGGAAAGTCCGTGAAGTTTGCAATGTTGTATTTTGAGCGTATCAGGTATGATAAATTCGCGTTAATCATTTGTTGGTGACTTTCAAAGCTGAATGATTATAGTTTTCTGAATTCAATAGCGTATGAATGATATAGAAATTATACAGAATTTATGGGCGTTAGAACATTAATATGAATTATTTATGTTATGCAATTACAAGGACCGCAAACCTTGGAGAAATCTTTCATTCACTTTTTTTATCCCAGTACAAACATTTTTATTTCATCCATTCATTAAAATGATTCATTTGATTCCTTACCGTAGATGATATATCAGCAAGCTTCATCATCCGGACATGAGCTGCTTCATCACGAAGTGGAGAGATTTTATGAGCGTTACACATCATACACTGTTAGAAAAATTACCCTTAACGGTATTACCGGCATTTCATTGGCCGGTCGGCACGTGAAAAGAAACATCGCGTCATCGTTTTTATTCTAATTTTACACTAGAAATCCGTAAAACATCTGATAATAACGGCAAAACAGTTTATTTTCACGGGGCGACCGGCCACTAGAATGCCGGTGGGACCGTTTTTACACCGTTTTTTCTAACAGTGTAACGTTTCCGGGGCTCTGCCATCCGTACGTCTCGGCCGACTGACGTTGAAGTCGTAAACGAATACGTGACTGCATGGACTGCGTTGCGGCCTCTCCAGCGTCCAGTATTGGCGATAGCTGTGAACCTCATTCTAAATGTTCGTTATGACTTCGTGGGCCGTTAAATCAATGATGTTTTGTTACCTGTACTGGGTGGAATTTTGCGTAGTTTTAGCGTCCGTATCATCGGCGGGGCGGACTCATGCAAACTGAGCTCATTTTCCGAGCGTAACTTCATAGAATAATGACGACTTTACGAAACCTGTAATTTCAGCACCTTGACTTCCGCCGCTCGCTACTTACTCTTTACATTTGAAATATTATTGACACTTCTGTCACTCGCCAAGCTGCTTATTCTCATATCAGTTTAATTAAAGGCTAGTTTATAAGGATGTTTTTACTTTAGGCACTTTCTGTTCCCTATTGACTCATCTCAGTATCATATATGTTATTGTTCTATTGCGAGTAATATCGCCTATGTCGCCTGTGAAGCTTTTTATAGCTTATATAAGGCATTCACCAGGAAGCATTTTTTATTTTGGAATTTTTCGATGGTCTCATGTTATGTATATTTTTGTGTGCTCCTCTGTTAATAAAGAATAAGTACCAGTCTATGCCACTTGTAAAAATTAAGCAATAACTCATGATGTGCCGCAATACAAAATTAAGCAATAACTCAAAAAAGCTTTACGTGATCAGTTAAACTGGTGACTACAAGAAAACAAAAATAAATTGGCTCATAAAATACTATTGTAATCTGCAACGAAGAGTGACACAAGGGATTAGAGAAAAGTGCATTGAAGAGAGAATGACAACACTGAAAATACAAAGCAAACAGTAATTCCTTCACAGTATAACGTCTTATCCGAGACGATCAATGCCATATCACAGATACTCGATGATAACCTGTGTTGCTGTGTTGTATGTGCTGTGTTGCTGACTGTATGAAGCATCAATGTTGCCGATCAATCCCCAGGCAACTGATTAATGAAGGGACATCTATACCCTTATCAGCGGCCTCAAGGTTCTGTCCTGATATGCGGGACTCGATCGATATCGTAGATTGATACGGCAGATTTGATCTGTGAAGTGAAGCTCAACACTCTAGTGGCATTCTTCGTCAGTCTATAGGTGGTTTGTGGCCCTATAGCCAGGCAGTGATTGTGCCCTCATTTTATTCAGCCTATTAATGCCAACAATTTTCCAGATACAGGATTCAGTTAACTCGCTTTATTTGATTCCCTCCCTACACCTGAGAACTTTTTCTTGCTGTGATGAAGGTTGGAGTATCTAGAGCGCTGCAGTTGGCAGCGGTGCTGGTAATTGCGTCAGCATCAAACGTACTGGCAAGAGCCGTCGACAACAACACGTACGATAGGCAACGGGAAGCCCTTGTCGCCCAAGACTACTCTAATTTAATCGGTAAGAAATATTACTTAAAATTGACAAGTATTTAACCTAAAAATCGCACAAGAAGTATAATTCACTCCATATAATTGAAGGTAAAATATAATTTAAAGAATATGAGCCCACAAGATCCTACACCAAACAATGGCGGCCAAGGTTGATGTCATGAGTACGCAGATGAAGTGGGGAATTTACGAACGAGAAGAGAATAATTTAAAACTAGTTCGGATGATGTCAAACCGTCTAAATAATTAAGAAAAAATGAATTAGATATAGTTCTGTGATCAAAGCTATGGGCGAACAATATTGAAGTCCGTGCAGATGAGTTTAATAATTCTTAAGATTGTCTGCAATCGGACATTAATTCCGCAGGATCATCGGTGGTGCTGACATCAGAAGAGGAACTGGCTAACCAGATCCTGGTAGCGCTGAAGCAGCAGGAGCTCGACGATGCATTAGATTCCTCAAACTACCCACCCGCTCGCAACTTTTTAGTCTCGAAGCCGGACATCGAGCGCTCGCAGGTCTTCTCTTTCATTCGCTCAATGCCCAAAGGTGCCAACATTCTTAAGATCATTTATTTGTATAGATTAACAAATGAAAGAGAAATTTCGACAGTTTTTCTATATATGACATTTCAATTCAAGAAGAAAATCATATTTAATTTCAGAACTAATTGAATTAAAATAATAGTGACAACCCTCATGAAAAGTCCATCTCTCGGTCGGTATTGTAGTGGCTTTAAAATTTCCCACGAGCTAAAAAATTCCGTTTGAATTCTTGCGATTGAAATAAAAATATTAAACGCGAGTGAAACGCGCTATATACTGTCTGGAGTTGAAGAGTACCAATCATGATGTTTACCTCAGTAATTCTAAACAGTTGACGAGTTTCGCTTACGAAATATTTAAGGCTGAAGATGTCGTAAGTGATCAGCTATATCAATAACTTTGGTATATATAATAACTTCTTCAATGAAACATTATTGTTAACCAAAGCGTAATTCCTATGAAGTATTTTCTTATCCTGAACCATTTTTTAACAGAAATTTTTTGAATGCGTAAATTAACAAAGAAAAGATACAATATTGAGATTTTAAAGAAATGCAATTCAGTTTATTAGTTGTGTAAAATTGTCGTGCACCCAGGAGCGGTTCTTCACGGCCACGACACAGGGCTCACGTCCATCAACTTCGTTGTTCAGAACCTGACGTACTGGGACGGCCTGTACATCTGCTACCTGGATTATGGCCCTATATTTAAGTGAGTCGCAATACAACTAATTCATATTTAATTCGTTTCTTGTGCAACTTTCAAAAATGCAGAATGAATGCTTTAAAAATGTATACAAATGATTCCTTGAGACTTTGTAGATTCTGGAAAATTCCAAATCAGTTATATAATGCATAAAATGACACAAATTTTAACGAGAGGACTCTCTCTCTCTCCTGTTTTCTTTTCTATCGATCCATTCATCTTCCGTTGTATTTGTTGCCTATACTAACTTAAATTACAATTACTTCATTCTATTCTCTAAATGCAAAATCTATTCTCTTTTTAAATGCAAAATCCTAAATAATAAAAATTTACAGCTTCATTCTAATCTATATCTATTTTTTAGGACAGTATCTTAGAACGTAGCCATGTGCAGGTTCTCTGCGAGCCCTCCTTCAGAAGGCGCGTGTCCCGACGCCTGGTCTCTGGTGTCCACTGAGCGCGCCGCTGCGTCGTCTCCGTCTGATTTCGACGCGGCGCTCTACAAGAACCTCACCATGGGCGTGGACAACCCACTAGGTCTATAAGCAGCAAAACAACCTACAAAAATTTACATAGCTATCATATTCCTAATTTTGTACGAGGCATGTTTTTAAATTAAGTTCCGTTTTGACATAAAAAATACAATTAACAATTTTCAATAATTATTTATTCACTTGAAATGCCGCATACTTTACTCCTCTACATAATTCCCATTAATATTGAGTCATTTACACATCTACGGACCAGATTTTGTTTGCCATCGTCGAAGAAGCTTACCTGCCTGATTAGACAACATGATGAGACAATAACGTAAAGAACACTTCTAGACAGACTGTGTTCTCTTTCACTTTACATTTCACTTTTTAAGTCAGATGTCAATCGTAACTTCTTAAATCAGATCTCAATCTGATTTTAAAAGATCTCTCTCCTGTAATGATCTAATTCCCATGTATTTTATTTTCTATTTTACAATTAACAAATAAATACTCCTGTCGACGATAGACCAGAATTCATCGATAATAAGACGTTAAGTTGAAGAATATACACGTCCACAGAGGCATACCCAGACGTGGACGCGGCGTGGGTGAGGTTCAACCAGTACTTCGCGTCCATGGACGGTATCCTCTCCTACCGCGCCGCCTTCGAGGCTTACCACACGCAGACCCTCACGGAGATGCGCGATGACGGCGTCACTTACCTCGAGTTCCGGGGCGTCCTGCCTCTGGTCTGTCTGCCTCTATACATCTCCTCTATACATCACCTCTATACATCACCTCTGTACATCACCTCTATACATCACCTCTGTACATCACCTCTATACATCACCTCTATATATAATACCTGTATATCCCTATATTTTATTACATCACCTCACTTCAATACACAACCTCTAGACTCTCTAATGCATTAACCTACAAAAATATTGTTGATTGATATACCTGGTTATTCCAAATTATGGACCAAATTGATATGCTTTCTCGTTTATGGGACGAGTTTGACTAGCGTTAGATCTTTGCCGCGCAGCACAAGGGGGACATATTGAATATTCATAAATATGTAAAACAAATTGAATCCCTCTCATTCCATTGGTGTATAAATCATTCAGTCCTAATTTATTGCCAAATAAATACGTATTTATTAAATTGGGTCCATCTTTTAGAATAACCCTGTATTTTCACCAGGACATTATTATGTTTCCTCACTCAAGTAGAATAAATTTCAGCTGTGACCGCGATGTTGTTTGGCTTATTTCCAGCTGCACGAGCTGGACGGTACCGTGCTGACAGCTCAGCAGACCATCGCTGTATACAAGAACATCAGCGACATCTTCGTCTCTGATAATCCAGAGTTTTTCGGAGCGCGTTTCATTTATGGGCCGCCCAGAGGGTGAGCAAGTGCGATTGTTAGTAACTATACTACCTAAGGTGTTTGTACATGGGGACAGGACACTAGTGGCCGCCAGTACAACCCTAACAAAATTTAGAGCCGAGGGCGACTCTGAATTAGGGAACGTCTAGGACTCGGGGAGCATAGTAAACTTTCTCTAACTTTCAAATTAGCATAGCTTCTCTAACCTTCAAATACTGACCATCACTATACGTACAGATGTTACTGGCCACGAAAGGATCCAATGATTCTTTACACGAAGCCTGTGGCTCGATGATTAGTCGCAGTTAGTATTTGAAAGTTGTGTTGGACGACACAACTTATGCCGCCCGGGAGTGTCACGAGCGATATTTGGGTTAGTTTTTCTATTTAATATTTTCCGCATTAACAATTAAAATGATTATCCAAAGTAATGTGAACTGCAACGAAATCAGCTCTTGGCGCTCGTTTCCTAGTTGCTTATCGATATAGTTATCAGTTTATCCCGTGTTAAGTGTCTTTAAGGCTCCCTCTAATTTCTTATATTTCCCCATATTTGAACAAGTTAGTCAATTGGAGCTGCAAATTCATAATTATTTCATCTGATGTCGAATTACATAACATTAATTCATTTTGAAAACCTCGTGAAAAATTCACGATTCAAACGATTCACGATTATTCGTTATCTTTATTTTCTAGTGTTTCTGTGGAGCAAGTGTTCGCATACGTTGATCTGGTGAAGGCTTTGAAGACCGAATTCCCTGAGTACATCGCCGGCTTCGACCTGGTCGGGCAAGAGGATCCAGGACCTCCCTTGAAGGACTTCATCGAGCCTCTCCTCACCCTACAGGACTCCGACCCTGCCATCGACGTCTTCTACCACGCCGCAGAGACAGGTTATAGCATAGCATGGAATAACATAGCACAGCATAACAAAACATAGCATAGCATAGCATAGCATAACATAACATAGCATAGCATAACATAGCATAGCATAACATAGCATAGCATAACATAGCATAACATAGCATAACATAGCATAGCATAACATAGCATAACATAGCATGGCATAACATAGCATAGCGAAACATAGCATAGCATTACTTCGAGTTCCTGACGAGAGATCAGCAATAAAGCCATGCTTTATTGCTGATACCTAGCACAACATATAGTGTAGCATAGAATGAATTGGCACAGATGATGATTAAGACGTTCAGGGCCTGTCGCCTAATATCGATGTCTTTCGCCTAATACTTGACTAGTAAAGCTGCCAGAAGTAGAGCACCTGGTAATGTCCAAAACTGCATATGTCAGACTTCTGTCCAGTGGCCATTTATAAAGTAAAACCCGTAGATGAACAAAGAAAGAATTAGAAACTCTAAATTCAGCATTATAATTATGCAAATCTTTTGTAACGCGAACCAACAATTTCTCTTTTCCTACTGTTGATGCATTTAATCTTTGCATCAAAACACGGAAAATACTACATTTGTCCAAGTCTGCACCTGGCTAGCATTCATTTTTTTCGTGCCCATCCAATGAGTGCGTTTATTTACATGTTTCGGGGAAACGTTGCTAATTTTGTCACGGAATATAAAATGTCAGCCAGGAATCAATAGAAAAGTGTTAACCTTAACATACTATATATCGATCACTGATGAACTATAGTCCCGCAAACTGGTCGCTGAGTAAAGTGGCGAAAAGATACACATTCACCTTATGAATCTAACATTAAATGACTATCAAGTAATGAGTAAGAATAAAAAATAAAATAGAAGTTCTATGAAATATTTTCATGCAACGTTCACAATATATTATGTACACTCCGCAGATTGGTACGGGGAGGATGCCGATGAGAACTTGTTTGACGCTCTCCTGCTGAACGCAACTCGTATCGGTCACGGCTACGGTATCCTGAAGCACCCCGCGCTCATGCAGCGGGCGCGCGATACCGCTACTCCTATTGAGATCTGCCCCGTGTCTAATCAGGTACAAACTCATCCCAACAAGTTGTAATTTCTTGAATTTGTTTTATTAAATAACTTGAATTTTATACAATATCATTGATTGTTTAGTAAATTTACAGATTATTATCACTTCTCTGCTCGCGGATGAAGTAGATCACGAAACAAAAAATATTTGCCAGGCCCTTCACAGTGATTTTTCTTTGCCTGATTTCATTTATTGAGAAGAAGGTATTAATTAATTAATAGATTTTAATTTCAATTAATTTTTCTTTCAACAAGAAATAATGCAGAAAATTAATTTATTCTCCGTTAGCCGCCTAAACCCGTTATTATTTTAGTTATGAGCGAGATTTCACAATAACTCTACGGACTTAAATACCAGGATTTGAATTAATTATTTGATTTACCAGCCAATTAAATAGAAGCCCTGATTAGTTACTGGAACGTCAAAGCTTTGTTAAAAAAATTGCAACAAAAAAATATATCGTTTACCGAATACTTCAAGGCTTTAAATGAAAAATCTCTGTCATAAATCCTCAGGTTCTTCGCCTGGTTGAAGACCTGAGGAACCATCCTGGCGTCGCCCTCGCCGCCTCAGGCTTTCCTATGGTAAGTACGCATCATAACCCTGCATTATTCAACAGCTATGGTGAGGACACATCATAACCCTGCATTATTCAACAGCTATGCTATGGTGAGGACGCATTATGAACCAACATTATTCAACAGCTTTGGTGAGTACGCATCATGAACCAACACTATTCAACAGCTATGGTGAGTACGCATCATGAACCTACATTATTCAACAGTTATGGTGAGGACACATTATAAACCTACACTATTCAACGGCTGATAGACAAGCCACTCCCTAGAAGCATTATTAATTTTTAAGAGATGGCTAGGCACTTTTTTACGAGACATTTAGCACATTGAACCTGCTCTAAGGAGCAGGATTTTGGAAGCCATACCATCCATAAGTACGTCCAGTTGCTGCTGTGACACTACACGACTAGTCAAGCATGAATAAATTATTAGAATTATTAAACATTTAATCCATGCGATGCTGCTTCCTTAAATATCCGATTGTGAATGAAGTATCAATCAATTATTAATCCAATAATATCGCTACTGACAATAATGATCATCTTCCAGCGAAGAAATAATACTCATAATACTCATCCATCTGCTGCTGTAGGGGCTGTATAGTGACATCTTATTTATCCAGCTGGTGCTCTACGCACATCTTATTTATCCAGCTGGTGCTCTACGCACATCTTATTTATCCAGCTGGTGCTCTACGCACATCTCATTTATGCAGCTGGTGCTCTACGCACATCTTATTTATCCAGCTGGTGCTCTACGCGCATCTCATTTATCCAGCTGGTGCTCTACGCATATCTTATTTATCCAGCTGGTACTAGAAGCAGCTATTCTCTCTAACACCACCGAGCTACTGCAGGTGGTGTCGTCGGATGACCCTGCCCCGTGGGCGGCGCTGCCGCTGTCGCACGACTTCTACGAGGCCTTCATGGCGCTGGGTGGTCGTCACGCCGACCTACGCTTCCTCAAACAGCTCGCCATTAACTCCATCAAGTCAGTGGTAGATTTGATTAATGTTTATTTGTTTCAGTGAAGCATTTCAAAATTTATTTATTCGATTAGTTCTTTCACAAGCCTGTGAACTAATCGGCTTGAACTCACAGGCTTGTGAACTCACAAGCCTGTGGTGTAATCGGCATTTTATTTGGTCATTTCATTTTCCAAACATTTGTGTTTGAATTGAATATTTGATTTTTCTTCTTATGGGATTTAGATTTGTTATTTAAATATACAATTTTTAAAATTTGGGGTTATTAAAATATTATTGAACTCTCTACTTTCACTACGATATTGTTCTCATTTAATAAAATGTTTAATTTCCCAAACTCCATCTGATTTGAACATGATGATGAAACTGACTGATGATGAAACTGACTGATGATGAAACTGACTGATGATGAAACTGACTGATGATGAAACTGACTGATGATGAAACCTCTGTTCACTCTTCAGTTTCAGCAGCCTGCCTGCTATACAAAAGGCATCACTTCTCCAGCTGTGGACTGAGCAATGGTCGAACTTCATCACGAGCGTCATCATCAAATACCAGTCAATACATACTAACCTCATTCCCGAAGATTGATTCATATATACTTATATATCATTTGAGAAAAAAGAGAAAAATATTATTGAACTGATATCATATATACTTCTATATCATTTGAGAAAAAAACTATTGGACCGATAGAAAACGAGCAACCCTGTAACTGGCTTAAATAATTTATCGTATTTAGAATTCAATTACTAATTCTACTATTTCCCGTCTATCAAACTAATTGACCGGGATGCAAATTCGTATATATAATTCAATTACTGTTTATATTACTTCTCGTCTATCAAACTAATTGACCAGGGTGCAAATCGCCAGCTTAATTATGCTGCATGATATTTATGTAAATTATTCAATATTGAAGTATATTGACTAATATTCGCTGCCGAATGATCATTTGTATCGAATTCCAACAATGTAAAAGACCTTTTTGGAAGTAAAATTTATGTTATAAATTTAGTTCCTTTTCTCTTCTAAAATTAGAGTAAAGCAAATCCAAGACTACGAGGAATTCAATTTCCAACGACAGGAAGGCAGATACAAATTTATTAAATATTCAATTGTAAATAAAATTCAACAAATTGTCTTTGTCAAGAGAATTCAAAGGCAATGATTATTGTAACAGAATATTTAGGCGAATTATATAAAAATTATTATATTTTTTGGGCCAAACTTCAGAGTTAGCTGAATTGTGAACGAAAAATTGTCTTGAAAAGTCATAAATTTCATTAATAAATATAAAGTGAAGCATTAATAAATGAAACAGCTGGCGATGCTAGCTGAATGTGGCAGCTGGGAGACAGTGAGAGAGTGGCAGCTGGGAGACAGTGAGGGAGTGGCAGCTGGGAGACAGTGAGGGAGTGGCAGCTGGGAGACAGTGAGAGAGTGGCAGCTGGGAGACAGTGAGAGAGTGGCAGCTGGGAGACAGTGAGGGAGTGGCAGATGCTCGGGAATGTGATAATCAGAATTATAAAGTGCATCTAACTTCTCTGTGTGGTTGTTGTCTTGTTGGGATATACTGTAGACAATAAATGGCATAGAATATTGTTAAAGAATAAATCTATTTATTCGTTGAGCGCTGTAGAAAGCGTCGTCATATTTTTTCTTTGCAAATACATGTTTTTTCTTGTTGATTTCGTGAAGTTTGGTTTCAATTTGACCTATACAGGCATGAAAATGCATGGTTTATGTTTTAGTACAACCATGGGAGAAGGTTTTTTTAAATCTACCGCTTAGCGGCTAATTGAAAACGTAGAGTTCAAAAAGTATTTTAATCCACAGCGCTTGGTAAATTATAAAATAGTAAAGTTATTCAAATGATGAAGTGGTAATCTGAACGGCTAGTAACTTGTAAGTGGTAAGTAAGCGCGAGTAAAATAATTATATAATATAATTATAATTATATTATAAACAGTTTGGTTAATCGTAACAAGATTTGTTTCTATAGGTGCTTGTACACAGGGATAGTGCAGACGGCTAGTAAATCTGGCTAGTGTCGGTCGCTTGGTGACTATCCGGAAAGTCTGTACACACGAGGAGAGTAGAAGGTGCAACTATCTTCTCGTTCGCGCCCGCCAGTGCGTCGTTAGAAGCCGTCGAGTGAGGTCTGCGAAGATGGATAGTGGGATCACCTTCAACAACTCGAGTCTGTATTTCGTTTTTATACTCTTTATTCTAACCTTTAAAAATGCAACGTCGAGAACAACTAAACCCTGACTAATAAGGTCTTCTTCCAGTTTCAAAATACTCGTTTCTCTCTTCATTTTGTTGGAGTAACGTCATGGCAAACATTCCACTTTAATTCATATTTATGGAAAATTTCAAAGAATAATTAAATATCGTCTGTAATCCATTTTGTTGGATTCCTCTTAGAAACATTATCGTTCAAACAAGCCATGATTCACTTGACCCAAGATACGTCACATCGGTCACAAGAGCGGCACAGATGCTCTCACCATGGCGGCATCAGCGCTACTAGCCACTTCTCCAGCGCAGAAATCAACACATCGTTGTCTCTCTAGGCCGCGTCTCGGTTACTTGCCGGCGCATGCCTCTGAAACGGCTGAACTCCTGTACACGAGGCTAGTAGCGTGGACAGTTCAAGCGCCGGATGAACTAGCGGCTAGTACTATCCCTGTGTACAGGCACCTTATTCTACCAAAATTGTGCGTAAGATGGTTCTTAGATTGCTGCCCTAGAATTTTTCCCGCACATTATTATTTCAGCTCAAAAATCGTCCCAAATTTTTGTCCCGAGTGTTGAAGCGATCTCTGGGAAAAAAATATCAACCCTCGACATTTAAGTAAAGCCCTTGTCGCTTCATGAATGTCTCATAGTACATCAATAAAAATCTTAAGAAATATATATGCGCAAATAATCAACAGAAATATATATGCGCAAGTTCATACAACAGAATGTGGCAGCTATGCTAACACATTTACCGATACCGTAAATTTTGTTGAATAAATTCCGTGCTGCATACTAGATTACCAATAGAAATAGCGTGACGATTAATTATTTCTGAAAAGAGTCACTACATCCCTAATGTCAAATATCAACATTTTGCGAAATGTTCCGGCTATTCCAGATTTTAGTCATTTTAAGAGCCAATTTTTAAAAGTACCTGCGCACCCGCTGATCCGGTTAGGATCGCTGATGGTGTTGCTTCAACTTGCCACAGCCACAGTCACTTGCTAAAGGGCTGCTGGTGCCTGGTGGTGGTTGTGGTGGTGGTCAGACTAAGGTCAGTGGTCACTGGTTAGGTTGCGAGTTGGTGTTAACACTCACTGATAACATAGTAATAACAGCGTTTCAATATTTCATGTTTTTAGTTCGTTCATGCGATATGCATTCTGTTTTAGTTGATGATTATATCATACTAATAATAATGATTATTATAAATAAGAACGGTTATGAATTTCAAGCTTGGAAATTGGAATATCTTAAAAATAATATATCCAGCTAGTATTTTAGACTACTTACAATTAAAATACAACTTAGGTACCGTAAAATGGGCTAACTCTGACCACTTTTTTTCAAAACAATGCCATTTTTTTACAAGATAAGTTAAACTTAAATTGAAACATGCAAAATACAGGTCTATACTCTAGCTTTACTCACCATAAATTGCTGGCTCCCGCCTCTCATAGTTTTGATGTAATTTCAAAAAAAGTGATGGTCTTTGTTAGTTGTTACCCCAGCAGGGCCCAGCTCTTGGGGTTTCTTTGACCGGGTGCGGGTGGAAAAATCAATTTTATTTTTTGTTAAAATAACTCCAGTCTCCAAATACTAACTCCAGGTTGTGGTGCATTCACTGCATTGTACCTAGTAGAACTCTTCTAGTTACATATGCAAAAGACAGATTTTTGGAATGGAAAGTGTCATAGTTTGCAAATGGGGGGCGCCGTGGCCGCCGCCGCCCAATTGGCGAAATGTGACAACCTAAAATGACCTAGGGTAAACGCGGTATATTTCGACACATTAAGGACGCATCGAGAAACGAAAAACTATAAAAAAAACCGTATGCGTTACGTAAGTTCTGTTGCCTTCACATGACTCTCAAAACACTTCACTACGCGTCAGCAACGATGAAACGTCACAAAATGTTGCCATATTCATGGTGCCAATCCATAGGTTATTCAAAAGAACCTGTTCTTATGTCATTTTGAACCGATCAACACTTCTTTATGGACCGATTGTATAACACACCTTCACCGGCAAAAGCTTTCACACTTCTGAGCGAGCTGACAGCTACAGCTACACTGGCCGTGGGGTGTGGGTGGACCTAATTTGAATTTGAATGCATGCAGCGATTCAAAATCCTATAGACTGTGATAGACATAGTATACAAGTCATAGAGCCTAAATTTTTAATATCTATAAAAAAA